GCAAGTGGATAATGAATGCAAGTGGAGAACATGAATGGAAAGGAAAAGGTAAAAATGCCAAGGGTGTGATATTCTTTTTTCGTGCATGTAATGACATTATCAATTCATATTTGTACTAAATTGACTGATGTATTACATTGTAAATACAATCATCAAACTGATCAAACTCGTCAAACTCATTGAAACTGATCATCTCTCGTAAAACTTGTAATACTGATCAAACTCATAAAACTGGTCAAACTCGTAACACCCATTGGGGATTTCATGTTTGGGGTTTCAGGATTTGACGAGTTTGATAAGTCAACGCTGTCAAATGATGGTCTAAATTGCATTTTAAAGGTTCAACATGGTATATAGGGGCTATTATGACGTTTTAACGTGTTTTTGTTATTCGTAAAGCATTCGAGAAAATGATAAATTTTACCCTGAGCCAATGTGTTACGTAAAGTGTAGTAGAATATTCGGGATTCGTTTGGGAGAACATACATTGTAAAATAAAATAAGGTGTTAAATTTTGAGAGTTGCGATTATTTTTTACTTATAAAGTTTGTTATATGGGGTGACATAATCGCGTTTTGGAATTGATAAATTCGCGAAATCGGAGAGTTTGACGAGTCAATGTGGTCAAACGGTGTTCGAAATTATATTTCAAAGGTTCTACGTTGTGTATAAGGGCTATTATGATGTATTTAACTTTTTTTTATTATTCGTAAAGCATTTGAGAAAATGATAAATTCTACCCTATACTAATGTGTTACATAAAGTGCATAGAACATTAGGGTTTCGTTTGGGAGAACATGCATTGTAAAACAAAATAAGGTGTTAAATTTAGAGAATTGCGATTATTTTTTACTTATGAAATTTGTTATATGGGATGTTTATTAACATATTCATGGTTTGAAATTGATAAATTCGCCAAAATCCGAGAGTTTGACGAGTTTGATGAGTCAACGCGGTCAAATGGTGATCGAAATTACATTTTGAAGGTTCTGCATAGTGTATAGGGGCTATTATGACGTATTTAACTTGCTTTTGTTATTCGTAAAACATTCGAAAAAATGATAAATTCTACCCTAGACCAATGTGTTACATAAAGTGTACTAGAATATTGTTGGGTTTTGCTACGGATTCCTAGCATGCGATCATATCGATCTAGGGTTTGGTTTACTAGGTTTCATGCAGCGGAAGAATAATCTAAACCTAGTCAAACGTCACACGCAACCAAAATCATCCGTAAAACCCCGTTCAATCGTGTATATCACCGTAGGAATCGAATACTTACCTCTTTCCTGAAGATCTGAAAGTAGCAATCGATCCAGGGCTGTTTTAATCACCAAGAGCTGAAAATACAGCTCCTCTACACGTATCCACACCGACGGGAAGGATTCCAAACGCTTTTGGAACTGATCTGCTAGGATCTGTGAAGTGAATAGGGTTTCCAAGACTTGGGATCGAATCCCGGGAACTAGAAATTCAAAAAGAAACGATTTTCTTGTGTTCTAGATCTGTCTTAGGGTTCTGTAAGTCAATCCTCTACTTAGGACGGCGTCCAACACCTCCTTATAAGATAGAAACCCTAATCCTTGTGAAAAGAGACTTTTTTCGAGTATTGACTCGGTCCGAGTCAGAACTCTGACTCGGTCGAGTCAGAACGAATCAGCCCAAGCCCATTGTCAACTCTTGACTCGGCCCATTTAGTATTGACTCGGTCCGAGTCAAAACTTTGACTCGACCGAGTCAAAACATCAGCCAAGCCCAAAACACTTTCTGGGCTTCGACTCGCATGGAACTGACTCGGTCCGAGTCAAATACTGACTAGGTCCGAGTCAGAAGGCTGAAAACACTCCGACACTCTGATTTGATCCGAAAACGATTTTCCGACCAAATCCAAGTCTTCCTTTCCGAAACTTCACATATAAGTCCATCCCTAATGGTGTGTGACCCTGTAGGCCCATTCGCAATGGCAGCAACCTCGAGAACCATTCTCGATCTACAAGTCATGGTTAGCCTCTAGCAAGACGCCATGACCACCCACATTGAATTGAGTTAGAGGTGATCTAACCAAGGCAATAACAGCTCGAGTTCTGATCCTTTATCTCACGATATCATAAGTTGAACAAGGGCATGGTGTGAGCCACCCTTCAAGTTCAACCGCTTTCTCGTCTTGGCAAATCGACTAATAAAATAGATGCAACTTCATCTATAGCGTGGCCACGCATTTTCAGAGTCCGACTTCCACGAGAGGGCCCAGCGATATCTCTCCTGTTAAGGAGGTGACAAGTCCCATATTGCATGTCTACTATCTCCATATGATTCGTGAACGTATCTGATCAACACCGTTATAATCATCCGGTTAAAGACGACGTTTGACGCAGTCAAGACACGCCACTCCTCACATCAGATACTCTAGACATCTCAGGTCTAAGGATCCCATGACTCTGTCCATGTGACAATCTCATGCGGGTCAACCAGTCACTCGTTCACAACGAGTACCCATGATTGTGATATGCATCCAATGCATCAATCACACCTCATGCTAGTCTTAATTCATCATTGTTCCCACAATGATAACTGACCATGGAGTTTAGAATCATTCTATAATGATTCAAGGATGCCGAAATATAACAAACATGCCAATCATATAACGGGAATGTAACGCATTCATAAATCAATGAATCAATACAAAGTCAAAATGTCATATCACGGATCATTCTAGAGCATTACAACCAACAAATATTAGGGTTTCATTTGCGAGAACATGCATTGTAAAATAAAATAAGATGTTAAATTTAGAGAGTTGTGAGGTGTGATTACTTTTTACTTATAAAATTTGTTATATGAGGTGTTTATTAACATGTTCATGGTTTGAATTTGATGAATTAGCCAAATCCGAGAGTTGGACGAGTTTGACTAGTTTGACAAGTAAGCGCGATCAAATGGTGGCGAAATTACATTTCTAAGGTTCTACGTTGTTTATAGGGGCTATTATGACGTATGTAACGTGTTTTTGTTATTCGTAAAACATTCGAGAAAATGATAAATTTTACCCTAGACCAATGTATTACATAAAGTGTACTAGAATATTAGAGTTTCGGTTTGGAGAACATGCATTGCAAAACAAAATCAGGTGTTAAGTTTAGAGAGTTGCGATTATTTTTTATTTATGAAATTTGTTATATGAGGTGTTTATTAACATGTTCATGGTTTAGAATTGATTAATTCACCAAATCTGAGAGTTTGACGAGTTTGACTAATTTGACTAATTTGACTAGTTCGACGAGTCAACACGGTCAAATGGTGATTAAAATTATATTCGAAGGTTCAACGTTGTGTATAGAGGCTATTATAATGTATTTAACTTGTTTTTCTTATTCGTAAAGCATTCGAGAAAATGATAAATTCTTCCCTAGGACAATATATTAGATAACATGTACTAGAACATTAAGATTTCGTTTGGAAGAACATGCATTGTAAAACAAAATAAGGTGTTAAATTTACAGAGATGCGATTATTTTTTACTTATGAAATTTGTTATATGGGGTGTTTATTAATATTTTTATGGTTTGGAATTGATAAATTCACCAAATTCGAGAGTTTGATGAGTCAACACAGCCAAACGGTGGTCGAAATTACATTTTGAAGGATCAACATGGTGTATAGGGACTTTTATGACGTATTTAACGTATTTTTGTTATTCATAAATCATAATGAAAAATAATATATTCTATTCTAAACCAATGTGTTACAAAAAGTATACTAGAACTTTGGAGTTTCGTTTGAGAAAACACATGCATTGTAAAAAAAAATGACATTTTCCTACACGAATTTAGCAAAATATGACCTTTTCATACACGTATTTTTAATTTGACAAAAAACTACACTTGAATTCAAAATTTTTTAAATATCTATACGAATTGTTAAAATTACCCGTAGTTACATACATAATTATTATTTTTATTAAAAAAATTAGATTCTATTAACTAATGCACTGATATGTATAGTAATTACAGTAATTACCTAACTAGTATATTAGTTAACAGAATCCAAAAAATTTTAACGAAAATGATGATTATGTATGTAATTACTGTAATTTTAACAACTCATGTAGATATTTGGAAAATTTTGAATTTCAAGTGTAGTTTTTTTGTCAAATTAAAAATACGTATATGAAAATGTCACATTTTGCTAAATCCGTATAGGAAATGTCATTTTCTCTAAAAACAATGTGCTAAATATAGAGAACTGCGATTAATTTTTACTTATGAAAATTTTTATATAGGGTGTTTATTAACATGTTCATAGTGTGGAAATGATAAATTCGTGAAATTCGTGAGGGTGCGAAGAGTTTGACGTATTTGACGAGTTTTACATGTTTGACGAGTTTGACGTGTTTGACGAGTCTGACGAGTTTGACGGTGCAACGACTCTGACAAGTTTGACGGTGCAACGAGTCGAACTAGTCAAATGATGGTCTAAATTTAAATTTCAAAGATTCAAAGTTGTATATAGGGTCTACTACTTCGCCTAATAAAATCAATATTGCTAATTTTTTTTGTCCTCCACATTTGGGTTGGAGTGTTATGCAACTTCTCCGATGCTCCTGATATAGTCACCTTAGAAGGTCTAAATATTTTCATCAGAAACTGGTTTTCCCTGCATTCCAATCTTTTGGATACTTTTCACTGTTTAGACCAGAGATAATTGCATGTTCGATGATCGAATATCTAATGGGTACACCTTTTAGAATAAACTATAATTCTTTCATGTTCCTTCCAGCTTTAGTGCGCGGTGTAAGATGACAGACATCGAAACCATCTTTCATGTGTCTTCACATTGAAGATGGAAAATATGTCGAAACTGCGACTCTTTATTAAAATATGTTCATTCTTCATTTGTTACAGCATTTTTTAGAGACCGAATGATTTGAAAAAGATAACACTTTGTTGTGATCTTATAAGCATGGTGAATATCGTTAAAATCATATACAAAAGAAACCTATAAAAAGAAAATTAACATATATTTTTCAGTTTTGTTTCACTAATGTGATCAGTTTAACCATTTTTATCAGACTCGTCAAACTCGTCACACCATTCAAGTGCAACTAGTGTGACTAGTATGACCACCTTACTTCGTGATCAGTTTGACTAGTGTGATCGTGTGACAACTTTACTAGTATGACCACTTGACTGGTGTGACCAGTTTTACCAGTTTGCTTAGACTAGTCAAACATGTTACACCCTTCAAGTGTGACCATTGTGACTAGTACGACCATTTTGACACATCGTGACTCAAGTCCGTAATAACCCGTGAATTCGTTATCCGTACCGAGTTTTAGGAGACCTCATATAAGCCTAAAAATGACTCTAGAATATTGAACCAAACCCGAGCGTCATCAGCTCAGAGTTTCAGCTTCTTCCTTGATCTCTGGAATGTTCACCTCCACCGGGGGGCTGCTTCGGCCTTCGCTTGGAGAGCCGCTTCTATCGTTGATCACTTCACTTTCCGCCGTTCTCAACAAAGCATTCTCCTCCATAGGTTTCGGCTGGTTAAGGGCATTACAGTGAGGACAGTAGTATGTTGTGTACGGAAAGTCCTCTTTCCGGGCAAGTCCTGTTCGAGATCAAACCCAATTCTAAGTTACCCTATTTCATGCCATTCACGGAAAATAATCTGTAAGCAGCTCACTCACCGTTATGCATATGACAGTTGCCACAGATGAGAGCATATGATTGGGTGGGATCCTCGCCCACGAGAAGAGCCGCGATCCGCGAGATCCAACCGCCGTCATGAGCAGCGTATCCCTGAGGACTGTAGTGTTCAACCACCATGTGCTGGTTGTGTTCTGTCTCGCTTAAGCCAGAATGCCGAGACTCGTCATCAGAATGATGAGCTGGAGGAGTGGTCCTGGCACTGTTGGGTCTTGTGTTAGTATTAGGTTGTTTCCGATGTCTGAGCCCTTGTGATTGCATCACCTCCATGTCATGGCTCTTGCCTACGGACGGATCAAGTCGGGATTCATCTCCTACTAATACTTTCAAGCCTGAATCTGCGCCTAACTTTGACGCCAGGATAGTTGCAGCCGCCGCCTTTGCAGCTGGATCAGTATCATATCTCTGTTTCAAACAACTCACATTAGCATCAAACCAAAGGATTGATATATGTATTGGCATAATAGCTCATTTGGGTTCCTCAATCAACTGCAAAACTATGCTAACTGTGTAGGAAGTAATTACAAAACCCCCTCTTCTTGCTGTTGTTTTTTTAGAAAGAATTTGCAGTTTAACTCAGTTTAGCTACTATGAGGAATTCTTCCTGTAACACGAGCTCAACTTCTAATCCGTAGCCACCCTTTAGCCCATAGATGAGGTAAATAATCGTTTGACTAACCCATTCCGTTGCTACTTTGATCGTGACAAAGGAAGTTAACTAACTACCAGTGGTAGCTCTAGATGGTAAGCAACTACATTACAGTTATGCCAGGACAAAAGCAACAGCCAAATACATCGAAATACAACCAGAGATACAATTAAGCGAGCTTAAAAGACAGATAAAAAACAGATATCAAAGGCCACATAAACGGATAGAACATTGTTAAAGACTACTACTAATTCACCTGAATAAGTTGTTGTGTGGTGTAGTAATTGGTCTTCTCTTTAAGCTCGTCAATTTTGGCCTGTCTTTCTGCCCGAAGCTTTTCCAATGTCTTTTGATCTCTGTGGTCACCTACACAATCGTTTTTAGACAGAGAGGCACGATTAGAAACAAGTAGAACACTGCATTTTACAGAGAGAGGCCAAGACTTTGCACAAAACGAGCACCTAAAAGGATTGAAAAACACAAGACTCACACATCCTTGAGAAGCGGACGATTGTGGAATATGCAAGAGAAGACAGAGCAGGTAAAAGAAACATGGGCAAGATCCGAAATGTCCTCATTTTCCAATCCATGGCCGCCATTCTTGTTGTCATGGTTGCATAACCCACTGCAATAACCTGAAACAAGCAATACAGTGGCTCTGATATCATATCATTCCCATGAACTCAGTCCTCCCAAGCAAACAACCATTTGAAGGGTATGGATTTTACTACAAAAACACAACGCAATACATCAAAATTCAACTCTATCCTCCTGAGTACTACCAAAGGAAAGGAAAGGTTTCATCCACTGCAAGAAAATCTCTGACCTCAAAGAAAATGGAGAAGACTATGAGATTTCTACTGAGCTTTCTCCATGTTTGCGATCGGCGCTTCATCCTAGACAGAACCGCTGCTTCTTCCTTGGAGATATATTGAAGTCTCTTCTCGAAATCATCGCCTCGAATCCTAAAAACCCCGTCCCAAAGGCGAGAAAACCACCCCTTATGTTTCTTCTTCTTCCCATCTCTGCCGGCGTCCGCCGTCGCGACGCCGGAATCCCTCTGCTCGCCGCTCTCAACCACCGCACTTTCCCGCTCCTCAACCATCCCCCCTCACCACCTCTCCACTATCAAAACCACTGAAAAAAAATGGCAAACAACAGAATTATCCATGAGTCATCACAACCTTAGAGACTTGGAAGAAAAACACGGATTTCTTTCCTTCCTCGGGATCCAAGAATCGTCGTCGTCAACTTGCCTGGTTTTCTCCTGATCTGGAATTCTCTGAAGAACACAAAAATATTCGAATTTCGTGAACTGCAGGAGAAATGGCGACGTTGATTGCGCGCTCTCTCTCTCTCTCCCGCTGCCTTTGATTTTGGAGTCTGTGGCAGTTTTTCTCTCCGAGAAAGGAAAGCAAATTCGCCTTCACGTCGACGCACGTGAGTGTCACGTGACTCTGTGTTGTTCATTGACGACCAGAGCCCCTCCCAAATTTAAGCCCGTTTTAATTATTTTCCTTAAAACAATTAGACATTAAAATATTATTCCGCGTTTAGTTGTAAATCATCATACCAACAACATGACTGCTCCACTGTGAAGGTGTCAACACTTAGTCAGACCCAGCAACCGGAAGAACCTGAGTGTCCTTACCATCTCCTCCCATCAAACTCGGCCTGTAAGAAGGGTTCATCTGCATTGCATAACAACAACATTTCAAAAAGGGCCCAAGAAAGAGCAACGTGTATACCGAAACCCCCATGAAATAACTAAATTTGTGGACAACGTGGTCAGAATCACGACTCAATTCGAAAGCACAAACGTCAATACAGTGAGCTCGTGAACTTATTTAATTCCGAAGCGTCACATTCCTAAAAATCTTCAGAATGATTACACAATGAAACAAAAGAAAAGCAAAAAATGAAACGAGAGGGTCGGAGGAAGAAGAGATAGAATGGGACCAAGGGAGCGAGGACGTAATCGAAGCCACCGGTGGAGATGTTAAAGGAGAGAAGAGAAGGGACATCGCCGTCGAAGTCTGTCTCCACGCCGCAGTACCTGGACTCGCTCCTCTCCTACCTCCTCTCTCCCCGAGCGGCATTCTCTCTTTCTCTCTCTCGATCAAAAATCGGAAAAGGAAGATTGGTCGGAGGATGACGACGGACCAAAGGTTTTTGCCAGGGTTTACATTGATCGTTGAATGGGGGCAATTGCAAAAATACCCTTAAATGTCGATTTCACTTACAGCCCATACCCTCGCACAGTAAAAAGAAAACGGCAACATCAGATATATCCTTATAAATATAGAATCCCTATAATACCCTTCCTTTATTTATATAATATTATAATATACTAAAATAAATAAAATATAGATCTATTTTTTTATCCTTATTTTCTCTCTCCTCTTTATCATTGTCTCCCGCCATACATCGCATTCTCTCTCTTCGAGTTTTTCTTCTTCTCTCTCTTGAATGTCTCTTCTCCAGCACGATTTTTTGGTAAATTTGCTCCAAGAAACTCATCCAATAAACGTAGATGTAGTGGTATTGTCGCTTATAGTGGAAGAAAAACGAGTAAGTGGAAGGTCTAAACAAAACCGATTTTCTAGATCTGGTGAGACTCGAAAAAAGAAAATCATGTTCGGTAGGTTCGGTCAGTACATCAATGATGTCACAGACGTATGAGTCATAATATTATGTTCGTGCATGTAATGACATTATCAATTCATATTTGGACTAATTCACTCGTGTATTATATGGTAAAAACAGTCGTCAAACTGATCAAACTCGTCAAACTCATCGTAATACTAATCAACTCATAACACTGGTCAAATTCGTAACACGCATTC